CTATTTTGTAGGTGGTGAAAGGAGGTTGTCAAGAGTTTCATGAGAGAATAGCAAGCACTTCATGGTAATCCCTTCTCTGGTCCTATTCAGTTTTTTACTGATTGGATAAATGAAGGTGAGTGTAACATGACACAGCTTCATAGAGCCTACATGAGAGGTCAGTAGGCAGATGTCACTTGCAAATAATAGCAGCTTCTCTCCAAATATTGAGCAGATTAATTCCTCAACAATAGATATCAATGGAGAAAACACATTTGAAGTAATATTTCTTTACAAATCCCTCTGCCCTAAGACACCCTCCCTGCACAGAATTTCATTTCATGCCTACGTAGTGCAAGCAAAGATCTTTTTGCCTTTGCCAAACATGTTTCATCTGTGATTTCATTAATATTACGATTAATAATTGACACAGAAAGTAGTGCATCATGGAAGTGTGAACCAAAAATGAAGAAACGTAAGCTAATTTGAAGCACTGACGCCTTCAGGTGAAGAACTGATGTAAAGAAAGGGGCACCAAGACAGAGGTGGGGTATGTACTGTCAGTGCATTTTTTTTCCCATTTCGGTTTGCTCAGACTATCTGTTGTTCTACATAATAATAAAAAAAAAGAAAGAAAAAACCCCCACAAAAGCCAAGATATAGAAGCCACTGAAGTGTCCATCAATAGATGACTGGATGAAGATGTGATGTATATGCACAGTGTATTACTCAGCCATAGAAAGGAATGAGATCTTGCCATTTGCAACAACATGGATGGAACTAGAGGGTATTATGCTAAGTGAAACAAGTCAGAGAAAGACAAATACCATATAATTTCACTTATATAAGGAATCTAAAAAACAAAACAAGTGAACAAACAAAAAACAGACTTTACATAGAACAAACTGGTGGTGGCCAAAGGGGAAGGGGATGGGGATGAAATAGATAAAAAGGTTTAAGAGGTACAAACTTCCAGTTATAAATAATTAAGTCATGGAATTGAAATGTAGAACACAGGGAATACAGTCAATAATATTGTAATAACATTGTGAACACTGAGTAATGTGTAGAATTGTCCAATCACTATGGTAAACCTAAAACTAATACAACACTAAATGTTAATTTGACTTCAATTTTAAAAAGCAAACAAAACAAAACAAAACAAAAACTAATTTCTGTATCCTCTAGCATAATTTAAGCTCCAAAAGGTTGGAGATTTTAGTGAAAGTAGGTAACTATTTTATTCCCATTGCTAACCATGTAGTAAGTACTCAATAAATATTTACTGAATGAATAATAATTAAAAAAAGACTAATGACTTTGAACCAATTAGCACATGATTCAAGAGCTTCCAGTGGAGAAGGAATTTAAGAAGATTCCAATTTTCCTAAAGAGTTTTTAATGCATGGGCATTTCAGGATGACAAAGGGAAAGAAGTGGGAAAGGTCAGGGATAGGATTGCAGGTAGCCTAGAGCAAGGGTAATCCATGCAGCATGCATCCATCCACAAAGTCCCATTTCAGCTCAGGGGGTGGACTCCCCTGCTGGAAGCTGGAACTCCTACCTGCTAAATTTGCCTGATGCTCTCAGAATTCTTTCCACCCACTGTAAAGCTTGAAGTGAGGAAGTGAGAGGTCCTCAGAGCTGGCAGACAAGAGGAAGCCTCTTTGCCATCCCTGCTCAGGGGACTCCACAGCAAGCAGGTCTGTTCTAGAAAAGGTGCTCACCTCAGGGTCAGACTCCTTGGCGTTCTTGGAAGAGCATTTTCTCTTCCTTCAAATAGGCTAAGTGGGGGGTAAAAAGGGCTTGTTCCAAGGACAGAGTTACTGTGGCTCAAAACACTTCAGGAATTTCTAGGACTTGCTAATTACTGAGTTTATACTTTGTTTTTGAGCAACTTAGGAGCTTGGCAACCAATCAGAAGTAGGACCAAGTTACTCTTGGTTGTTTCCACAATCAACAGCCACACTGGAAGAATGAAGTTTGCCACGTATGACCCCTTGCTAGGAGCACATCTCCAGGAGGACAGGTCCTCTTCCCCAGGCCCAGTGCCTCCTTCCTCCCCTTACCTCTGGGATCCATCCTACCTCCCTCTCCTCTTTGTGTCTGCCATCACTTCTTTTCCTCTGGTGGGTTTCTCTTCTCTAGGTAAACTGCAAGCAGGAATGGATCCTTTTTCCTCCTGCCCAACGCTTTCCACTTTCCTTAATTGTCCTTGAATTATTTTCTTTTTGAGCAATGTTCTTTCATACAAGGAAATAAGCTATGTGCATTAAACAAATCTACATTTTACAGATTGTAAAAGTCACATAAAAGTATCTTAGTAGGTATTTATGGCTTCGTTTTCCTGGTGCATCTATGTAAATGTCCAAAACAAGAAGCAGGTTTTGGAATCAAGTCTTTTGATCTTCTACTTGGATTCCTTTATTCCTGAATGTGGTAAGGAAGCTTCCCTTTGCTTTGCCCATTCTGCCCTCACGTCTTATCACAGGTTCTTTACATCTCTATGAAGAAGTTTGCAGCCTAGGGCAGGGGTCACCAAAGTACAGCCTGCAGCCTGCTTTTATAAATGAATTTTTATTGTAATACAGTCACACAGTTTTTACCTCTGGTAGACACCAGAGATAATCCACTAGGGAATAAAAGATGGTTTGTAATTATTAGACCAATGGAGTGATCCCATGCTCAAGAGGGTCATGAGCATGTCAGGACCATTCCAGAAGGATGTGGTTTCTCCATATCGTAGGGTCTCTCTTTTCTCTAAGAAGGTCAGATGATGTCAATTGATAAAGGGCAATCTGTTGGGATTTTCTAGAATGTTTAAGCAATGATATAGTATTACTGGAAAAGGTCCACAGGACCCAAGTGGGTCTACACATTTTGATGTAAAATCTCTTCTTTTTTTGCTGTTAAAGATATTAAAACAGAATGCTATAGTTCCTCCTAGAAGTTCCCAGGATCCTCATATCCCTTTTATAAAAACAAAGCATTTTAAGTAAACTTTCAGAAAATAAGAAACGTTTCTCTTAAAAGTGGAGATGCTCTACAAAACACAAAAGGGGAGAAGTGGATAAACTGGTAGCACATTATCTGACTCAAAAAAAGATGCTCATGGCTGTGCCAAATCATCTTTTTCTTAGTAAGTCACACTGAACAAAAAAAGAAGATAAATCACCATGAAAATGCAAGCGAGCTGGTAATAATAGCCGTTATAGCCGCCATGAAATAGTCATTAAGTTATATGCAGCATAAATCTCACAGTTTTGTAAATTATGGTGGTTTTTAGAAGCCAAATAAAGATAAACCATACAAACTATGGCTGCTTTTCTCTGTGCTCCTTGGCATGACTTTCTAAAATGCTTAAGCTCAGGCTCATAGGACCATATGGTTCTTGAAACATCTGAGAAAGCATAAAGGTTCAGAACTCCGTTAAGACCCCTCTTTCACTTTTTGAAGGTGATCATTCCTAACCAGCCCTTCCCTGCACTCTTGCCTGGTTTGGCTCACACTGAGGCTGACAGGCTTCCAGCTCAAGCCTTACACTTCAAGCTGCTCCTGTTTCCAAGGCATACTGGAAGAGCCGGTGAGGGAGATGGGTGGCGCTTGCCGGCTGAGCTGGCTGCTGGTGGTTCCAGCCAGCCACCTCCACTCCAGAGACCAGCCATAAAATCAAACTCTCTGCCTTCCTCAGTAGACCAGCACATTAGCAAAACTCAGATTCAAAGATGCCCAGTAAAATGTTCCTTTTCCTCCTTTTTTGGAGGTTGGTGGTAATCCCCAGTTGATCTTTCCTCTCAACTGCTTTTTCCCCCTGCTATTTAAACTGAATTCTTATTGCTCCAAATTAAATCCATTCTTTCTGGCCTTGTCATTGCTAACTAATGAGAACAATTCCTCTCTTTGCTCCTGGTAGCTGCACTTTGGGTGCTTATGGATGAGAATCATACCCTTCTTTAGCCTACTTTCCTAACTGCAGACTGCACAGGTGATAAAATGGGTTAATTGTTGCTATAAAAATATTTTCTATCCTCGTAACGAAGTAATTTTTTCCTCCAAATCATTTTAATTTCTTAGAATTGCACTGTGTTCTTAAACAATCTGCACTGACTGAGGTTGCAGTCCTATTGGGCTTATATATACAAACAAAATGTTGGATATACAATATACATGAATCTAACAATTCTGGGTTATTGTGCTGTTTCCCTTTTGCCCCACCCACCCTGGCCTTGGTTTTTATCACATGCTTTTTACACGTGTATGAGGAAGTTTGCAGCCTAGGGTAGGGGTCATCAAAGTAGAGCCTGCAGCCTGCTTTTTTTTAAATAGACTCCATGCCCAGTGTGAAGCCCAGCATAGGGCTTGAACTCACAACCCTGAAATCAAGACCTGAGCCAAAATCAAGAGTCAGATGCTTAACCAACTGAGCCACCCAGGTCCCCCTGCAGCCTGCTTTTATAAAATAAATTTTTATTGGAATATAGTCACACACATTTCTTAAAAACATGTTATCTATGGCCATTTTCACATTCTAATGGCAGAGCTGAGAGTCTGACAGAGGTTGTATCACCTGCAAAGCCCAAAATACTTGCTCATCTGGCCCTTTACAAAAACACTTTGCTGACCTCCAGCATAGGAGGTTATTACCACCCATGTGCGCTTTGCTACTTGCCAACAGGTGAAGGCAAAGTACCAGGTAAATCTCTTATTTACACCCAGGCAGTCTGCTAAATGTTGCATGACAGGCCAAACCACACAGCTGAGTGGTTTGGGTGTCTGGACTGAAAGAGTTTTTCATTTTTTATCCCCGAGGTACCCCATGGGCATCAGGTTCACGTCTAAAGGGACAAACGAGGCTTGACACCGGGGCTAGCCCTGGGATACGGCTCCAACACACCTAGGCAATTTTTATAATCATGTGCCTCTTTGCCGAGCCTATCTAGAATGTTCCGCGGCGTTAATCTGGCTCACCGACTCACACCAGCAGGAAGACAAAGAAATCCAGGCCCAGGCCTGGTACTCACTATGTGAAGCTGGAGGAAATCACCGAGGCCCGGAGCACTGTCGATCCGCACCAAGATGCCATCCTTCACGGTGGTGCTGAAGCCCACGGCGAGGCGGTCAGAGCGCGTGCTGGGCCGATCATTGGCCGGCCAGGTGTAGAGGATGAGGCCTCCGCTTTTCCCAAAGATGTACGTAGCGCCAGCTGTGAAAGCAAGGAGAGAGGGGGCCATCAGGGCATGCATCGTGCATCTGCAGCTGCAGGCACACTGCGGAGGCTCTGCACAGACCGCTGCGGAGAGGAGACAGCCCCCACCTGCCGGTATTTGCTTACTGAGAGGGATGGCAACCAAAGCCTCGCAAGGCGGCTGTCACCCCAAATTAAAGATGCAGGCAAAATGAATTAATAACAAAGCAGATGTTAGCAAGAGGCATCCCGAACATCTTCAGTTCCTGTGTATAATGGCGGACGGCAAATAACATGCCTTGTCTGAGAGCATGGGTACGTGGTGACAGACAACTTGCCCCATTTCCTCAACAGCAGAGTTAATTTTCCATTTCAGCTAGGACAGGCATGAGAGAGAAAACTAGTTCCCCCCATCTCTTAGCTCTCAGAACATTCTGGCCTGTGGGGCCAGGAGCAGCTCCGGGAATGCCTCACAAGACGTAAGGTGTAAGTCCAAAGCCATCATTCTTTTCACACCTGGACCTGCGAGCACCCCCACAGAAAAGAAGGCTGGAGCCTGAGAAGACCAAGTTCTGCCTTGGCCTAGTTCACTATTATGTTGCTGTAAAATATGTGATAAAAATTAATTCCAGAAGCCTTTTAAAAATTAATTTACTTCCATAGTGATGGTATTTATCTGGTATTATGTAACAGCTTCCCTCTCTTTTCCAAACTCAATTTCAAAAAGGGAGTATAGAAGACATAGGAAAAAAAATCTCACAGTGATGAATTTGGAACATAAGTGGTATTGCCACTTATGAATAGTGGATTTATCAGTGTTTTTAGTATTTACCATCTTTTCACTCTTTTTACAAAGCCAGGGATTAGTAAGAATATATTAATTTAAAAATACGTAGAAAACAAACAGGAAGAAAAATAAAGAAAATATTTGCATCTCATAAGTTTTAAAAGTCTGTTTTTAAAAATAGGTTTTAAAATCTAAATTTGGAGGAAACCATTTAGATTTGGTACCCAGAACAGACTACATCATTGTAGTTTCTATGGCTATATGTATGTTACCCATAGTGAGTACTTCCATATGTTACTCATCTCAAAGTTCAAAGAATATTTAGCAGATTTTCTTCTGTGTTCCGACTGCACATGGTCCAATCCTTGAAACTATTTTAAAGCAGCATTAGATAAGCATTCAGATTTCTTCAACTTCACTAAAAATCTCCAGCACTGGTTCACATTTAGTTTACAGGGAATATTGGATTGAATTATGTTGTGTGAAGAAAAAATGAGTTATGCAGCTTATTTAGAAATAATAAAGTCAACTGCTATGAGGCTAGAATTAGGAGTATATGTCATATGTCATCCTTATTTTAAGCACTAAGCCACATTATACTCTGAGGCATATAGAATCTAATTTGTCCTTTTTGAAAGGTCACTATTCTAGTCTCTCCAATATGCTCAGTTTGTATATTACATGTAGTATAACATTATCTTCCTTTTATGAATGTCTCAATCCTAAGGGGATAGTGTCTGAAAAGACCTCCACAGTCATCTGGAGAATTTGGGATTGTGGTATGGAAAGTTTATGATTAATGCTATATGTAAAACAATATCTGTTCCTCACCATCCACAGATACCCTTAATGCTTCTTAAACTTAGAAATGTGGACATAATGATTTACCCTTGATATCTATCCATCTGTGAAGAATTTAAATAATTCCCTTTCCTGTAGATGATTACAAATGTCATTGCCACCCTCTTTATTCTTTATTTGGAAAACTGAAGGTTACTCAGTGATCAATGTATAGAATCACCAAAAATGCAAATCAGCCTGTGACATTTTGTGGCAATTTATAAAATCTTACCCTATTTTATCCTAAATATATAGTGGATTCTGCTACAGAGATAAATCCATACTCTATCAGGAAATAATTTTATCACTTTGTTACAAAAAGAGCAAGTCCAAAGTTGATAACAGCAACACCTATGTGTGGTGTTTTACACTTTAAAAAAACCCTTTCAAATTCATTAGCTGGATCTTCACAACAGTTCTATGGGATATTTCATTTGTTAACAATGTTTGGAAATAGAGACCCAAGCATCTGACTTACATAAATGGCACCTCTTTAAGTCTCCAGCTTTCCCTCCTGCTTCCAAAAGCCTGTCCTCACCATATGCCAATTATAGCTTAATAAAATTATTCAATAAACTATACCAGTGATGCAAAGTTGACTATACTTTATTCTTTTCACATGTTCCTATAAGACCAAAATGGAATGAAAACAAAGCCATAGCCCCCAAACCTGGCATATTTTCAAAAGCTAGTCTGGTCTTCTAACCATACAAATAAATTTACAAACCTTCTATTCTGCTCATATTTTTTATCCACTGACTGTTCAGTAATTCTCAATATAAAGAATATAAAAAGGAAGAACATTTTAAAAGATAAATACACAATTTCTTATATATAGTGGTTAGGAGGTCATCATGGCTTTAATTTTTAAATAAACAAAGAACAAAACCTCACTATGATAATCTCAAGGTAGATCAAAAATCAGCCTTAAAAATTATTTTGCTTGCTTTTGTTGTTCTGAATTTAGGATGCCGCTATGTTAGATAATTCTAACTTTGTAGATGAAAAGGGCAAAAAAGTACAAAGTCCTTAGCATATTGGCTTATTCTGCCATGTGGAAATAAATCTAAAAATGTGTCTCCTTGGTATCGGCTTTCCTAGTAAGGGTAAATAAAGACCCTGAATGCTCCCATAGTTCAATGTTGGCTTTAAAGGAAGTTAATTAATATTTACAACTTTCTATTCTGAAAACCTGTTATTTTTTTCCCCTCTTTAGTTAGCTTTGCTATCTTGCATGTGCACTTTCTGTTAATTTTAATATAAAATGCCTAGAGTCCTAGGGGGAACATGGACTTATTTTCCTTTACATTTTCAAATTAAAAAGTTAATTTTGTTATTTTAAAATGTGGATTACAAATCAACATTTGGGGAACATCCTAAGAACTGTAAGAACCCTCCTTAATCCATTAAAGATTTTCATTTCCAAGCCATGCAATACCACATCACATGCTTTCTCCCCTGAGCCTAGTTTCTCTGACTGTTGGTTTCTCGCTGTGCTAAGTATACTGGTGTGAAGATCATACTCCATTTATTAACAATCAGAACGATGAATTTCCTGCTTGCTAGCAAAAAGTGATCAATTCAACTGAAGAAAAACTGCTGTGGTGGCATTCTGACCATTCAACATTGCAGAATTTGCAAGTTTGGAAGCCGCCGAGATTGCTGAGTTCCACCAACAGAGTATTTCAGAAATGAAATCTCCACAATGTCACCATTAACCAAGATATGTATACACACCGTTTTCAAACAGTCAACGAATTTGACATGTTATTTAACACGCAACTTCTTTTGTCTCAAGAGCACCAAAAAAATGGGTTTGGCTTATTGTATTTTAATTAGCAAGCTATTTACTGTGATGGGGCTGATGGTGATTTTGGCAGAGCCAGGTATGTGAGGGTATGAATATGTATGTTTTGGGGTGTATTCTGTGTATGGAATTGGTTGGGGGGAAGAAGAGGGTAGGACAGGCTCCACTTAGATCATGAAGAAGTCCTGGGGAATAGCTTTATGTAGTTATACAACAAGCTGATTAAATAGATGATCGATGGTTTCTCAAGGACAATAAAAGATAAAATTTTTTCTAGGTCATACATTTCTCCAAGAAATAGTTCTTAAACCTGTGGTGCATATTACTGCTCATTTTACTAAAATTTAATATAATTATTGATGGCAACTTAACATGTCCTTATTTAGACCATTTGGATAATTATTACTATTGTAGCTTTGACTTCTTAACCTCATGGTCCTGCCATTATGACACTGTTTTCTATTCTTATATCCAAGTAGCATATTATTTCTTTTTGGCAATTACCAATAGAAATAGAATCATAGACTATTTAGGATTTATATTTGATATAAAAATAATATATACATACATATGTGTATGCATATACATATGTGTATGTGTGTGTAAGAAATAAGGCAAGTTTAGTTAGAAAACATAGTAAACTACCTGGAATTAATTTATTATTTTTCCATCAAATAATTACAGATAAAAGGCTCCAGAAATTCATCTAAATGTAATGTTGCTTGTTTATTTATGCTTTTTAAAAAAGAAAGGAAATAAAGCAAATCAGCTTTCCCTGAAATAGTTTTTGGTTGGTGTTAAAATGGAACAATGCAAGCATGTCCCAGGGGAGACCTGAGAAAATTAAATTTAAAGAGAACTAGATAATTTACTCATGGACAAATATAGCATGTAGAATAATAAGTTAAATAATAAAATAAATATAATTCTTGCTGTGCAAACCATCTGGTAGGTAAACCAGGGTAAGAAACAAAGAGTCAAACTCTTCCTCCAGTGCTCTTTGAACATTACCTGAGAACTTAGTATAAAATCTCATGACACCAAGGTAATATATCTGTCTTCCTCTATTATTCAGGCCCCTCATTCCTCATTTCTGTTGTATTACTCTTTCATCAACCTTATCCACATTTGTGTTCTTTACTGTGAGTTGGTAAATCCTTTTGGAAAATAAATGGACTATCAATGACAAAATATATCACGCCTGTAGATGCAGTTATTGCTACTGACTTAAAACTATCTTTTATTCAGATCAATTAACCAGATAGCTAACAAAACCAAAATGGAAAGACTTGGAAATGACACATAACTCTCCTAGCAAATGGAGACATAAAACTCAAGGATCTCAAAATGACTGATGGTCTAAAAAAAGAAAAAAAGTTTCTCAATTTCTTTTACTCAGTTTGCTCTATGGTTCCTCTTACACAAACCCCTGGCTGTTTCAGGGAGTATTCATCTCAGCAGGACCTTCTATGTTCATAGCACTGAATGGTTTTCAGATTGTTTCTTTGGGAGTATCTCATTTGCTGCCTCTTCCCCCAGTACCGACTGAAGTGTCAATGGCAAACATTTTCGTTCGAATAAAAC